ATTATGTACATGGTACATATATTTATTCATGTATTAATTGTCTATGAAGTTCTTACCATTTGTTTTCTTTTACTTTTTGCTTATTATCGTTTGGTTAATAATGCAAACACAAAAAATCGATTACTTGGCAATCATCGGGTATTTACAGCAATCAACTGAGGGTTTGAAATACAAATTTTCCGTAACAAGTAGGAAATTATGTTATGAGAATATTTTTCAAAATCTGTATTCCCTTAAGCCATAACTAACCTGTCATTCGATTAATTATCGGATAGTGTTATTTATGTACTGATCCTAATCAAGCGCATCCCGATATTTCAATAATAACAGTTTGTTATAACCGAGGAAATTTAAATGTTTTCAGTCATTTGGGGCTTGAAAAAATGGTTCGTTATAGCCGAAAATTCGCTATAAGCGAGTTCGTATTAAGCGATGTGATTTCATATAAAATAAAGAAGGAATCGGCCGGAGATCTCAGATTTAGTTCGCTTTTAACGATAATTCGTTATAAGCGAGTTCGTTATAAGTGGAGTCGACTGTATGCTTATTAGATATAAGGCGTACATGTTTAAATATTGAAACTGTCTTTGGGTAGAACATTACATGACATACAAAAAATAGCGAGCACATCCAACATCCATCTTGTGTAAACATTTATTAATAATGGAAATTCATATTTGTAATTGTACTTTACATTTTATCACATGGGTCGTTGGCCTTCTGGTTTGATATGAATAGGACTTGTTAAACGTGTTGTCATTGACAAGTTTGACGGTCCTTGACATTTCTTCAATTGTAAACTTCAAAGTACCGTATTCAATTTAAAACATGTTTTCTTTCTTGATTAATAACATAAACGTACATGTTTGTTATCCCAACGTCATGATCTATTTATTGAAATTGTCGATAATAAAAAATCTAAATTAAATGAAATTGTGATCTCATAATACATTTTTGAGTAGAATTCTGAATTCCATTGGACGTGTACACAGCTGTCAAACATCTATCGGATGAGGCGCTAGCAGCTGAGTTGTGTACGAATCTAAAAGAGTAAGTTTTGTTCTTTTTGATATTTCAAAAATAAAAACAAGGCTATGTGGGGTATAAATTACCTTTGAAACAAAATTTTGGACTCTAAAAATGAAACAAAATTCTACATTGGATACAATATGGAATTTTTGGATTCTGATCAAAACGTGGCTGTTCGATAATATGGTAACCAAGAACAATTTTTATCATAAGTCGCGTGTAGAAAACTATGAAAGTTCATAAGTCGTATTTAAAAAGGGATGAAATCTTACAATTTGTCTAAAAAATACGTACATTTAAATATTTATCTGCCCGATGCATCTGTTAATTTACCTGACTCTTAATTTACTAAATGTAACATTTTGCCGGGTAACGGAAGTCATATAGTTATTAAAATAATCACGGACCAAGGTTATCTAGTTATAAATGTCGATAATGCTGAGTTGGTGTATATCTATCCCAAAGATTGCAAAAAGACCAACGATAACTGTGTACATATGGACACGCAATTTTATAGTATTTTTCACTTTAAAAGATAAATTGTACTCGGTAAGCAAGAGAAGCAAATAAAGTGTCCAATCAACGCATCAGAAACTGCATGTTTTCTTTGAAAAGGTTTTGCAGTTTAAAGCAGTAACACGTACCAAATGATACATTTCTGTAGTAGCCCTAAGGCGAATCAGGTTCACCTGACAAAATAATTACACAATTTACTAAAAAAGAACAAGGAACAAACTATATCTGAAAAGCATTAACTAAAAGAACTATAATAAAAATACACCTAGCCTCTTGCAGTACCTTTGTCTTCCCTGACAGTGAGCGCCTTTGCTGAAAGAACTGCATGTGATCAAAGGAAATCTGACAACAGTTAAATTAAACATTGTTACTCGGTTAGCCAGAAGAACAATATTTGAACGTTTCTTCGAGGGCAAACAAACATTTTTTTTAACAGATCGAGAAAATCGAAATAGCCTGTAAGGATCTATTTTACTCAATTTTTACATATTCAACATCTACAACATCAACCTTTGCACGTGACAATATACTAATGTAGTGTGTATAAAAACACATTTACATATACAATTCGTTTCCAAATGATAATATTTTTCTAAGATCAGTTTGAGATAACTTTATGGGATGCAGAAATTCTGATTCTTTTATAAAATATAATTTTTATCTTAGTCGTTTCTTTCATGTATTTGTATTTCATCATAAGACACAGTTGTTGATATCGTTTTGTCCGGTTTTAAAACATTGATTTTATAGAAATTTCATAACAATTTATGGCAGACTTACTCTAAGATACTTAGCATTATAGTTTGACTTTATTTTGTTCGACCAGTTTATCCTGGTTTATTTCTACTCTATCAAACCGTGTAAGTATTTACACACGGCTGTGTATTTCGTCTAATGTTTTATCTAACTTTAAACGTATAGTTTTAGAGTGACATCGCATTTGTGGATAAACCGGTGTTTCCGCCGTTGGTGATGTTATGTTACATCTTGAATACGTCTTTGCGAGTTATTTCATCAGAATCTGGTATGTTTATACCGTTTGCATTTTCATTTATTTAAGAATATTTGGTTTCATAGAAATTTTGCAAGCGAATCAGATATATTTCTTACAAACGTTTAGAAGATTTTTTTATTATTTTATACTGAGGTCAAATACATCATTTTCAATTCATTTTCGTATTTGTAGTTTTGTAGCCTCTATTGATATATTTGTTGGTGTTTTTATATAGATATGTAGGCAGGATAAATACAGTTTGATATACATTATTGAACAAATGTATGATCTTTAAATATGATAACGTACACAATGAGAGAATATTATCATGTCCATGTTGTCTAAAAGTTGTTGCATTGTGCACATAATGGTTAATTAGTCATACATATTTTATATAATTCAAATAATGACGAACACAGTTTTGAAGGTTTGAGCAGAGACATGTTTTTTTTATAAACGGGACATTAAATATGACAAGATTTATATATGTTATTTGACAATCTGTCAAATGTCGGATATGATTAAATAGTTTCTATTTATAACTCATTATAACTTATTTTGTAACACAATTTGTTGGCATTTTAATGTGGGTGGTTGTCATATATATATTGGTCTAAAAGTCAAGTTGGGAGTTCGGATTTGAGACTTGTTAACAATGTACACTTTTGAGGAATTGAAACGTAAAAGTTCTGCGTTTTCCTTTCCATACTACACGACAAAGATTTTGCTAATGTTTTTACAATCATGATGGAAAAATACTTTATACATTCTTCCTTTAAAGGAAGACTTCCGTTTGACCCTATGTGCAAATTTTAAAGAAAAGCTATAAGATGTGATTCTATGTTTTTTTACTTTACCGAATCGTGTGCCAAATTTTGTATTCTGACAAAAAATCCCAACAAAACAATTTTTTGCCCCTGACACTAAATGAAAATAAGCAAGCGCAATCGAATTCAAGGGCATGTAACTAAAACCGAGAGAAGTGAATTTATATCATATTCTTAGATCATGCACAGTTAAAATAAACTCTTTAACATTGTATTCATTTTGGCTTTTCTATATATTTATATGTAAAATATTACAAACATCTTTAACCTGTAATCCAATAATTTAAAAGCTAATTGATAATATCTGTCATGTGTTGCAATCCTGATATGACTTACTTTTGGAGGTTATCCGCCCATTTTGCGGTAATGTTTCTTGCCAAAATGTGTGGCGGGTATCCAAAGGACGGATAAATATGACATACATAATCTTTCTTGCATATTCTTAAAAGATTTGCAATTTCATCCGATACTACTTTATGCCAGGTGAGTCGCATGCTTAATACATAACCAATTTCTGATTAGTCACACCTTAAAATCTATTGTTTTGGAAGTCGTATTTGTATTTACAACGAGTTTCTTACATATTGATCCGAATGTTATCTTTATTAAATCAAGTTATCATATCAAAAACAACCTTGCTTGACCAAGCTACAAAAGACAATTTTCAATCACGTCATCACCAGGTACTGATGTTTGTATCAAATGTAAGGATAAATTCCCTTTGTATCGAATATATAATTAGAAAAAAAGAATATGCGAAAAGGTCTTTTCGAGAACGTGGTTGAATCGTTGACTGTCTTACGGTTTGTATCATCTGCCCCTTAAAATTAGTCCGGTATATTACCCATTTTCTTAATGTTTACAAATCAGTATGTGCCGATATCGCCAGACACATCATTTAAATCGTTCAAATCTACTGTGTTTGAATATAGATATAGACTAGAAATTGTAACAAGTGCCGAATACCCCCCCCCCCCAACATGCGCTTGTCAGAAAAAAAATGCTTTTTTGTTAATGATTTTGAACATAGAGAGAATGCAGTAGTTTAAAGATTTTTTTTCCAAATGTTTTTGAATTATTTGTCATACATCAATAAGATAAATTTAAGTTTGGATTTGAAGTTTTCATGACTTCTTTTAAGAACAATACGTTCTTTCACCCAGGGATTTATGCACTTACAGTAACGTACATAGTTGTCAAGTTATGTCCTGGACAAAGTTCAAAGTGTTAAAATGAACACAGAGCATTACCCAAATATTAGGGTAGGGAAGGTTACGGTTCTTCTAACTCAGGGACATCTATCTACCTACAAAGCACCAAGTTTATACCATATAAAGTTCTCAAGTTATGTCCATGACCAACTTCAAATTGTAAAATGAGCAAAGGCAATAACTCCAAAGAGAATATTTGGGAAAAGAGGGTTACGGTTCTTATTCACTGCACTTCTACTCATTGAGATTATATAACTACAAAGTTTTAAGTTGATACCTTTTAATGTTCTCAAGTTATGTTCCGGACAAATTTCAGTGTAATTCAGTGTAATTTTATGTGTAAAAATGAACAAAGGGCAATGACTCCCAAATTGTACTTCTACCCAAAGAAATGTATCTACCTACAAAGTTTCTTGTTGATATTTTTTGTAGTTTCAGAGTTATTACACAGACAAGGTTCAAAGTGCAAATACTCCAAAATTAGGCAAAGGTAAGTAACAGTTCTTTTGCATTGCACTTTTACTCAATGAGATCTATCTACCTACAAAGTTTCTTGTAAATATATTTTGTTGTTTTAGAGTTATGTCCGGACAAATTTCAAAGTGTAAAATAACAAAGGATGATAACTACAAAATTAGGCAAGGCAGAGTTTTGGTTCTGTTGCAATGCTCTTCTCTTGTGGTTTAAGAGCAATGTCCCTGACAAAGTTCCAAGTGTAAACATAATCAGAGGGCAATAACAACAAAATTAGGCAATGCAGAGGTACGGTTCTTTAGCACTGCCCCTGTACTCAATGTTATCTAGCTACCTACAAAGTTTCTTTTCAAAACCTCTCGTCGTTTTAGAGTTATGTCCCGGACTAAGTTCAAAGTGTAAAATAAACAAAAGGCAATAAATCAAAAATAGGCAAGGCAGGGTTATGGTTCTTTTGCATGGCACTTTTACTGAATGAGATCTACCTACCTACTAAGTTTGAAAATTATACCTCTTTTAGTTATGTCCCTGACAAGAAATCTGCAACGGACCGACAAACAAACATACCGACAACCAGCTGACTTCAGTATACCCATTTAAACTACGTCTGTCGAACGTATAAATACATATACAGAAAATTTTAAAGGAAGAGGTTAATACAATTCAGACTTTGAAGAAATGTGGTTTAGTGTCAAGCACGCGACTCATGCCAGATAAAATTTGGAACATATGGAAACACAAGACTGATATGAAGTAAATAATTCTTTAAAACATTTAGGCGTCATATTAGTTTCACAAAAGTTGTATTTTAAGTTACTTATACCGGTTAATCCGGTTTCTCTATGTCTGACGAGGTACCTTCGTCCGCGTTCAGATTAAGCAGCCTATAGACGTGACAGTTTTTGTTAATTCTAATAGTTTTGAAACATAATATTAATGATGACAGTATTTAGCCCAAAAAGAAAATGCAAAACTAGTTCAGGTCTTGAATATGCAACATTGCATACAAGTCTTGCTCCGAATTGTCTTTTTAGTACTGATTGACAAAAAGGAAACATGTGATCGAGGCAGGTTACCATGCTATATTTATCAGATAACTAACATATTTATGTTTTAAAATTAAAATTGTTAATCACACCGATACTGTCATTGTCGATTTAGTTGATTTTCCAAATTTACTGGTGTTGAATGACCTAAAGCAACTGTGTATAATTTTGAAATTAGTTAATAATGCCACTATTTGTATTTTGTTAATATGTAAAATACATATTGAATATACTCACAGTTGTCTTATATGTTCTTATTCCTACACAATGTCTGGTTTAAATCTTTCTTGTCTTTACTTCTCCGGTTTGTTTTCCAGATTTTTATTTTTTTCTGCAAACCTTTTTCACGAGTGACTCAAATCAAAATTATTATTATTCAAACTATTCTTTATAACAATATCCCTGTTTTTTTTTATCTTTTATAAAGCAAAACACTATTTCTGAATTATACGAAGATAACAACAATTTACACCAATGTTAAGAGTGGTAATCAGTCATACTTTAAAGCCACCTTCTCTTCTTTAAATTAAAAATGTTGTGAGAAAGTTTCAAAATAAAATTTCCTTCATGCAATATACTTTAAAACACCATGCTTCTTACTCCCTTTTTTTCAAACCACAGTCATACAACCATAGTATTCGTATAAAAAACAGTGTATTGTTTTCTTCAGTAAAACGTTAGAATTAGGCCTGCTTTAATCCATTTATGAATATTATGATTCAATTAATTTTGAAGTTGAAAAAAAAATTACATAAAACTAATTACATGAAATGAATACGCAATTAAAGTCCAAAGTAATGTTTTCGAAGCAAGAAATATTGTAGTACTTTAAGATATTAACATGCTCTTTTCATCTGTCACTTTGTACTACACTGCTTTACCCTTTGACAAAGATATTTTATATAATCGGGGAATTCATCACGTTTATTTGATTAACTCTATGCGTAAACCACTTGAAGTTGTCTGTAATACTGTACATAAGTTTGATACATCGTCTCTGTGCTTTAGGAAATGCTATTGTATTCTATTGAAATTCTGAGAAACATTGATATATCAGTCCTATGTTGCAAAGAATAAAATTATAAATTGCGTGAGGTTTTAAAACAAGCTGATGCATATAAGACAATATTAGGCCAAGAAAAGTTTAATAAGCTGGTGAAGAGCATGAGTCCATTTTTTTTAGTGAAAAAACCATGCTGATACGCTTTTCGTTAAAATTGAAAACCGGTATCCTCCTCACTTGCAGCAATTCTTAAAATAAATCAACACGATGTACACATTTTTGTTTTTCAACATCTGCCATTCCTTCTCCAAAACAAGGATTGGGTGAAAATAATATTATTTACTTGAATACAATCACCTTCATGTAATATTTTACATCGGATATATTTTGATCTGACAGCAAATGCTAATTAGAAACAATAATATCATCGTTTTGAATAAACAAAATCCATTGTTATATATTGTTTTTAGCACGATAATTAAGTTATTTTCTCTTGTGTTATTCTATGCAAAAATGGCGTTAAGTTAAAAAAGAACAATTCTCTTTCAAAAGCAATGAAAATGTTAAATATGTTAACAGTTTAGCGTATTTTGTTCTGCTTCTCTGTTTCTATAAAGGATATCTCGGCGTTTCATTCAAGAATTGGAATATTTTTCAGTTAGTAATAAAAGCTTTTGACTAAAAAATCTTTCTACAGTTGGATAGTATCAACAAAAATATTACAAAATATTGCTGCCTCTGCAAGTTACTTTGAGGAAAGCGTAATCTGGAATAGAATAATAAAAGAAAAAACAACATATCACTTATTTTTTTCATGAATATAAACTTTGTGACCACAGCGTGTTTGCTGTAGAAAAAGGCACACATTTTATTACTAACGTTACGTTATAAAATATCATGCATGTACGGGGAGAATACATAAACAAACGGATATACAATATTTTAATAAGCAGTGATTCCCCTTACATAGACCTAATTCGCCAAGACAAGAACTTTGTGAGGACTAATTTATTTTTTTGTCTTAAGCTCATTTCCGTACTGTATCATTTTTCGTACTATATCAGTAAAATTACAACCGATTGCTTAATCATATGTCTATATATCATGCTGGTTGATGTATCGTGAAAGCGGCCTTTAACTATTCTAAAGCTTTCATATATTGTATTGAGATGAACCGTTTCATATATATATTGTCAAAAAAAAAACAACAACAAACGTAAGGTGGAAAATACAATTTGCCGACGTTAAGGATACCGACCGATACCTCCAATAGACCGGTCTCTGTATGTATGTATGTATATATAAATTAAATATATATGTATAACACTTTTAAAAAGCTTACGTTTATTAAAACAAATCTTTGGAATTCATTCCATTTGGTTATAAAGTATCTAAGTGATATTTCTAGGAAGTCTCTTTTGATTGTATTTTCCAAGGATATGTTACTTTATCAAAAGGCATAGAAGATAAATGATAAATGATAGATGTTTCATACAAATTCGATTATTTTTATGAGTTGATTACTTTGTTTGTGAACAACAGGGCTAATGCAACGTGAAACTAAAACGGTAAAAGTTTGTAAGCACAAGAATATCTCAAATTTAATGTGATACACATAGTTTCAATTTGATAAGACTAAGTTTGATTTTACCACTTATGACGTAGCGCATACACGAGCTTATTACAGTCTTCATTTGCATGTTGAAATTCGTAACATTAGTGTTACCTCGATTCCTTTTCAAATCATTATTAACAATATTTAATGAGTTTTACAATACTGTTAAATACGTTGACGAAACGAATGCTTGGACTTTAAGCCGACGGATAAATATGTTGAATAATTTATTTAATGCAGCTTTAAAAGTTGTTTCTACCTCACGGTTAAAGGTTGGACATCTATAACAATGTTCTCTATTAATGTACATGCATGCAGGTTTCTAAGCCTACAAAGTGATACTGGGACAACAAAGATGATTGTAATTTTACTGATATAGTACGAAAAATGATACAGTACGGAAATGAGCTTAAGACAAAAAAATAAATTAGTCCTCACAAAGTTCTTGTCTTGGCGAATTAGGTCTATGTAAGGGGAATCACTGCTTATTAAAATATTGTTTATCCGTTTGTTTATGTATTCTCCCCGTACATGCATGATATTTTATAACGTTACGTTAGTAATAAAATGTGTGCCTTTTTCTACAGCAAACACGCTGTGGTCACTACGTTTATATTCCTGAAAAATATAAGTGATATGTTGTTTTTTCTTTTATTATTCTATTCCAGATTACGCTTTCCTCAACGTTACTTGCAGAGGCAGCAATATTTTGTAATATTTTTGCTGATACTATCCAACTGTAGAAAGATTTTGTAGTCAAAAGCTTTTATTACTAACTGGAAAATATTCCAATTTTTGAATGAAACGCCGAGATATCCTTTATAAAAACAGATAAGCAGAACAAAATACGATAAACTGTTAACATATTTAACATTTTCATTGCTTTTGAAAGAGAATTGTTCTTTTTTAACTTAACGCCATTTTTTCATAGAATAACACAAGAGAAAATAACTTAATTATCGTGCTAAAAACAATATATAACAATGGATTTTGTTTATTCAAAATGATGATATTATTGTTTCTAATTAGCATTTGCTGTCAGATCAAAATATATCCGATGTAAAATATTAAATGAAGGTGATTGTATTCAAGTAAATAATATTATTTTCACCCAATCCTTGTTGGAGAAGGAATGGCAGATGTTGAAAAACAAAAATGTGTACATCGTGTTGATTTATTTTAAGAATTGCTGCAAGTGAGGAGGATACCGGTTTTCAATTTTAACGAAAAGCGTATCAGCATGGTTCTTTCACTAAAAAAAATGGACTCATGCTCTTCACCAGCTTATTAAACTTTTCTTGGCCTAATATTGTCTTATATGCATCAGCTTGTTTTAAAACCTCACGCAATTT